AAGGAGGTGAGGGAGGGGAGAAGGAAGGAGGTGAGGGGGGAGGGGGAGGGTAAAGAGAAGTGAACGGGAATAGAGAGAATGACACAGAAGGAGGACTGAGTATAGATGGATGGATGGATGGATGGATGGATGGATGGATGGATGAACGGATGGATGGATGGATGGATGGATGGATGGATGGATGGATGGAAGCATAGATGGATGACAAGGTGTATAGATGGGTGGATGAATGGATGGATGGATGGATGGATGGAGGGATGGATGGATAAATGGATGGATGGATGGATGGAAGGGTGGATTAAGAATAAATTAATGAATTATTAATCTTGTGTACATACCATCGCCTCCAAACCTCCCCCCTCCCCCACACTCACACACACACACACACACACACACACACACACACACACACAAATATAATAATATGCCTTAATTAGCAAAGATGTATACACGAAGGTTTTCCTATGTAAAATAAACCCAAATTAATAATAATAATAATAATAATAATAGATAGCATTTGTATAGCGCATATCCCCGCTCAACAGCAGGCCCTATGCGCTTTACACTAATTGGAATATTTTATTAGGAAAGAAGGAGGAAACCTTAACGGCTTTATAACGAACATTGAAAACATTTAGCTTTAAAAAAAAAAAAAAAACGACTTACATCAAGTAGGTGAATTAATAATGTTTACTCAAGACGTTAATGAGTTTCAATCAAGGGAAACTATAAAGTATTAGAAGTATATTTAAAAGTATGGAACACGGTTATTTCCCTTGCAACGTTGCCTCGACGAAATCGTGCTTTATACAAGATTTTTTTAAAAAAAGAACGATACTATTCCCCACTATTATAAAGTGGTTATTTCCTTGGAGTAACTATATATATATATAATAGTTACTCCAAGGTTATTTCAAACCTCGCTGCTCGAAAAGTCTACCATGCTCCATAATTTCTTTTTGAATTTTGTCCGGGTGGCAGCCCGAGCCTACTCTTACCGATTTTAGGACCACCAAGGAATCTTTAATATGCACAAAATGCACACGGGACCTCCGATATTTTTCGCACTTCTTTGGCTTGGGTACTGCTACTGCAGCTGTGCCCTTAAAGGACACTCTAAAGTTTGTAGTTGCAGGAACTCAAGCTGTAATGTTTTAATTTATATAAGAAATAAACAAATGTGTTCATTTTTATGGGTTTTGTTTATTTGCATACTCCATGTGTAATACAAAAGCTTAATCTCAAATGACTTTTTTCTATAACGTAACTATAGGCACTTGTTGATAGAAGACAATCTAAGCAATACTATGTAAGCATCTGATCTGCTTTTCACTATAATTGGCCTCATTTCTTCTCAATTAGACGTGTTTTAATTTAATCCCTTAAGGTGGTTTCTCTTGACCAAATCCACCAGGTTCGAATGGCCGGGGGGTTGGGGGGGGGGGTGAAAAGAAGAGTGCGAAGGGCAGGGCAGTGTTTTCCGAACACAGATCTTTTCCGTGAGATCTGCTCACTGTCGATTACATTGTGAAATCATTATTGTATCGATGGTTATTTGACTGTTGGCTGAGAAGGGACGACAGACGTTACCAAACATCTAAAATCAAGCTGACAATGACTTTGAATGCCTATAAATAAACTGAGATTTATGATACGCAGGAATGCGCGTTTACTCCTCGACCTGCTCCATTTCTCTATTACCGAACCTGGCAGTGAAGGTATCACTGCAAACAAAGTTCCAACACGCTTTCTCTGATGTTAGCCAAAAGCGGGTTAAAGACCGTTAGTTGGGCAATTTTTCTTTTTTTCTTTTCAGCTCAACACCTTTTACTTCAATTAAAACTCTTATCTATGTCGATTTTATCTTTAAAAAAACCATCAACGCCGTAGATCAAAGGCGCAAACAATAAATACATTAAATTGCAGTTTCCAAACGCACACAGGCTTTGGAAGTCACCAATCTTTGATGGCCATTTTCTGACAAAGAATATTTTACCCCTTACACCTGTCGACGCTCACCTCTTTCAATAGCAATTATCTCAACTTCTGTTCAAGAAAGATGGGTACATTCTTTGTCAAACAAAAGACAAATGAACAAGCTGTATGATTATATCAGTAACTCCATATGCCCCAAAATTGACGATTGCCTGGTTCCACCATGTCGTCACACACACACACACACACA